ATTTCAAAGACCTCATTTATTATGCTTGAAATCATAGTACCATGGATAAAGGATATCAAGCATTACGCTTGGTACCATAACACCCCAAATCAAGGATATTGGGCATCATGCTTGGAATTATAGCACTACAAATCTATGATAATTAAGTAGTGGATATCAAGTAGATATCATGGCATATCCAAGATATCAATCATTACACTTGGTACCATAAGACCCCAAATCAAGGATATCAAGCATTAGGCTTGGAAGCGTAGAACTATAGATCAACAATATCAAGTATAATGATTTGAACTGTATCATAATAGATCAAGGATATCAAACATTATGCTTGATACCATAACACCCTATATTAAGGATAATCATATATTATTCTTAGAATTATAGCATTACATATCAAGGATATTTAATAAAAAAACTTGTAAATAATGATAATAATAGTAAGAAAAAAGAATTATAGATTTAAAAAATTATAACTAATTATAGTAATAATAAATCAAAAATAATTATTTTAAAGTATTGATAATTTTTTTTAAAAAAAAATTATTGGTGTTTCAATTCTATTAACAAATTTTCACATTATATTTATTTTTTATTATTTTATTATTTTGGTAAGATCATAATGTTTGTTATTGTTTTGTTTTAATTTTTAATTGTCTCTTCATTTCTTGGGCTTTTTATGCTTGGTAACATAAAACAGTATATCAAGGATATTATGTATTATGCTTGAAATAGTAGCATTACAGATTAAAGATATTTAATGGATATCAAGTAGATATCACAACATAGCAAAGATATCATCTATTATACTTGGTACTATAAGACCCCAAATCAATGACATCGAGCATTATGCTTGGAATTATAGCCTTACAAATCAAGGATAATTAAATAGTAGATATTAAGTAGACATTACAACAAATCAAAGATATCAAGCATTATAATTGGAACTGTAGCACCTCATATCTAAGATATCAAGCATAATGATTTGAATTGCATTACTATAGATTAAGGGTATCAAGCACTATGCTTGGTACCATAACACCTCATATCAAGGATATCATATGTTATATTTGGAATTGTAGCAATACATATCAATGATATTTAGTAGAAAATTTTTTGTAAATAATGATATTAATAGCAAGAAAGAATAATTTTGAATTAAAAAAATTATAAATAATAATAGTAATAATAAATCAAAGACAACTACTTTAAAGTATTGATAATTTTTGAAAAACTTTCTTAGTGTTTCAATTTTATTAACAAATTTTCATATTATATTTGATTTTTTATTATTGATTAATTTTTAATTACTTTGAAACGATTATAATGTTTATTATTACTTTGTTTAATTTTTTAATTATCTTTTCATTTTTGGGACTTTTTATGCTTGGTACCATAACAACCAAGCATTAAGCTTGGAAGGGTAGCACTACATATTAAGGATATCAAGTATAATGATTTGAACAATATCATTATAGACCAAGGATATTAAGCATTATGCTTGATACCATAACACCTTATATCAAGGATATTCTTTATTATGCTTAGAATTGTAATACTACAGATTTAAGATATATAGTGAATATCTAGTAGATATCATAACATATAAAGGATATCAAGTATTATAATTGAAACTGTTGCACCTCAGGTGAAAGATGGAAAATATTATGCTTGGAAACATAGTAGTACAAATTAAGGATATAATTAAGTAGTATTAAGGATATCATTTATTATGCTTAGAACTGTAGTACCTCAAATCAAAGATATCAAGTATTATGCTTGGTACCATAAGGCCCCAGATTAATAGTATTAAGCATTAGGCTTGGAAGCGTAGCACTGTAAATTAAGGATATCAAATATAATTATTTGAATTGTATCATAATAGATCAAGGATATTAAGTATTATGTTTGGTACCATAACACCCTATATTAAGGATATCATCTATTATGCTTGGAATTGTAGCATTACAGATCAAGGATATTTAGTGGATATCAGGTAGGTATCATGACATAACAAGGATATAATCTATTATGCTTGGTACCATAGGACCCAAGATTAAGGATATTAGGCATTATGTTTGGAATCATAGCACTACAAATCAAGAATATCAAGCCTTATAATTGAAACTGTAGAACCTCAAATCAAGGATATTAGTATCACTATAGATCAAGGATATCAAACATTATGCTTGGTACTATAACACCCTATATTAAGGATATCATTTGCTATGTTTGGAATTGTAGTATTACAGGTCAAGGATAACTAGTACAAAAATCTTGTAAATAATGATAATAGTACTAAAAAAGAATAATTTTAAATTAAAAATATTATAAATAATAATAGTAATAATAAATCAAAGATAATTATTTTAAAGTTTTGATAATTTTTAAACAAATTTTCTTGGTGTTTCAATTTTATTGACAAATTTTCGTATTATATTTATTTTTTATCTTTTATTATTTTGGGATGATTATAATGTTTGTTATTATTTTGTTTTGCTTTTTAGTTGTTTCTTCATTTCTTGGGTTTTTTATGATTGGCACCATAACAACCAAGCATTAGGCTTGGAAAGGTAGCACAACAGATCAAGGAAATCAAGCATATTTTAACTGTATTACTATAGATTAAGGATATCAAGCATTATGCTTAGTATCATAACACCCTATATCAAGAATATCATTTATTATACTTGAAATTGTAGTACTTCAAATTAAGAATATTTAGTGGATATCAAGTAGATATCATGACATATTAATAATATCAAGCATTATAATTGAAATTTTAACACCTCATATTAAGGACGTTAAGCATTATGCTTGGAAACATAGCATTACAAATCAAAGATATAATTAAGAAGTATCAAGGAAATCATTTATTATACTTGAAATCATAGTACACAAAATCAAGGATATCAAGTATTATGCTTGGTATCATCAGACCTCGGATTAAGGATATTAACTATTAGGCTTGGAAACTTAGCATTACTGATCAAGGATTTCAAGTATAATGATTTGAACTATATCACAATAGATCAAGGATATCACGCATTGTGTTTGGTACCATAATACCTTATATCAAGAATATCATCTATTATGTTTGGCAATGTAGTATCTCAAATCAAGGATATCAAGCATTAAGGATAGCATTACATATCAAAGATATCAATCACATCAAGCGTTATGCTTGGTACCATAGTACCTTATATCAAGGATATCATTTATTATGTTTAAATTGTAACACCCTAGGTTAAGGATATTTAGTGGATATCAAGTAAATTTCATGACATAGCAAAACTATAATCAATTATGCTTGATACTATAAGACCCAAGATCAAGGATATTGGATATTATACGTAGAATCATAGCACTGCAAATCAAGGATAATTAAGCAAAAGATATAAAGTAGATATCACGACATAACAAGAATATCAAGCATCATAATGGGAACTGTAGCATCTCAGATCATTATGCTTGAAAATGTGACACTATAAATCAAGGATATAATTAAACAGTATTAAGGATATCAACTATTATACTTGGAACTGTAGTACCCTAGATCCAAGATATTAAGTATTATACTTGAAAACGTTATACTACATATCAAGTATAATGATTTGAACTACATCACTATAGATCAAGGATATCAAGTATTATGCTTGGTACCATAATATCCTATATCAAAGATATTATCTATTATTGTTGGAATTTTAACACTACAAATCAAGGATATTTAATAAAAAAATCTTAAAAATAATTATAATAATAGTAAGAAAGAATAATTTTAAATTAAAAAAATTATAAATAATAATAGTAATAATAAATCAAAGATAATTATTTTAAAGTATTGATAATTTTTAAAAAGTTTTGTTGGTGTTTCAATTTTAGTAACAAACTTTCAAATTTATTATTTATTATTTTTAATTATTTTTGGATGATTATAATGTTTGCTGTTATTTTGTTTTATTTTTAATTGTCACTTAATTTCTTAGGCTTTGGGCTTAAACTAATTGGGTCAAAAGAGAAAACAAATCTATGTCAAACCTAATAGGCTTGAAGCTTCAACAACACATTCCTTTCCCTTATTCCTTTTATTTTTTTTACTTTTCCACCCAAAACATACCATTTCAACTAAGTATAAAAACCTAAACTTTGCATTTTCTTTTTTTCTTCTCTCTCTATTGGACACCTTTCCCTTCTTTCTGTGTTCTCTCTAAACTAACCTTTCCCCTAAATCACATAAAGTCTTTCAACATTGGTTGACTCTTATTTTTTTCATTATTGGGTTTTACGCTTCTGTTTTTTTTTAATTACTTTTGTGTTTGAATTTTTTTAGGTTTTTTTTTTTCTATTGATTTTTGTTATCAGTAATTTGTAATTTTTATTTGAATCATGTGTTTGTGGCTTAATAATGCTAATTGATTTTTGTGTTGATGGTAGTTCTCTCTAAGCTTTCACTCTACTGCTTTCCTTTTCTTATTTTAAAGATAATTTATTAGACTTCAATTGAAATATACAAATCAATATTTGATGCCTCATTAGAAGACACAAAAAAGATAATTTATTAGTTACATCCATTTCGACTTAATTAATATGATACGACTTAGAAATCAACAAAAGCTCCATTAAAAATAAAACCACATGGATGGTTTCAATGGGATCAAGGCAGGTTTTATTGCTGTAACTTGAAATAATTTTAATTTGTGTTAAAAAAGAAATATTTGAAATTAGGAAATACTAAGGGCTAGTACCAATTATAAATCTCTTTTGAGAAAAGTAGATTATTTTTTTAATGGAAAGGGCCAAAGCTTTTTATCTTTTACCGTAAAAACAAAAAAAGAGGAGAGGAGAGCAGTGCAGCGCTGCTATTTTTATATTCAAAAGCCAAGAGCCAATCAGCTTAATTAGGCGGATGGATGGATATGCCATGAGATCAACGGCCCCAAGCAATTGATTGTCTTCATCTTTAAATATCGATAAATAAATGAAGACCTGAGAGGCAGCCCCCACCAGGGCACCATTTCTTTGGCTACTGTGTCCTTTTTCCTCACTTATCAGTGCAATCCTTTATCCTTTCCTTCTACCTCACTCCCCAACGCTTTTCACCACCAAAAGCAGATCTTCTGGGCTCTCTCTCCCCTTTCTCTGCTGCCAGCCTCCCCAATTGTAAACCCCAGTTCTATGGTTTCTGTGGGAACAAAAAATGAGGTGATGGAAATGAAGTCCAGTAATAATATGGAATCTTAAGATCTCTCCTTTCCTTTCCGTTTGCCTTTCTTTGTTATATATAACGCCACAGTGTCAACCTACGGCTCCTACAATCAAGACCTGAAACCAAAACAATGTTATCATCATCATCATCATCATCTCCATTTGTCTACTTTCTTACCCTGTTCTTTTCTCTTTTCCTTCTTTTCTTATTTGCGCCTCAGATCCTCCCTCTCAAGAAGCAACGATCCCCAATCACTGTCCAGGACGAACTGGACGATCTCCAGCTCTTCCATGAAGCCACTCTCGCATCGTCCCGTGGCTTTTCCAAGATTTCCCATCTGGGTACCACCAATCCCAAGCCTAAAATCGCCTTCCTTTTCCTTACGAACTCGGATCTCGTCTTTGCCCCCTTGTGGCAACGCTTTTTCCAGGGCAACGATCATCTATTCAACGTTTACGTCCATGCCGACCCGTACTCCAAACTGTCAACACCGCAGTGGTCGGTGAAAGCCAATTTCATCCCAGCCAAGAGAACGGAACGCGGCTCCCCAACACTAGTCTCCGCCGCCCGCAGACTCCTCGCCAACGCCATCATCGATGATCCATTCAATCTATACTTTGCCCTGTTGTCCCAACATTGCATTCCTCTCCATTCCTTCCCATACATTTACACTTCCCTTCTCGGGAACCCGACAGCAGCATCCAAATCCTTCCTAACTCAACGATCTCACAAAAGCTACATCGAGATTTTGTCCAATGAGCCACATTTGCACAACCGCTACGTTGCTCGAGGCGAGGGTGTGATGCTCCCTGAAGTATCATTCCAGCGGTTCAGGGTTGGATCTCAGTTTTTCGTGCTGGCAAAAAGACATGCTTTACTTGTACTGAAAGAAAGGAAGTTATGGAGAAAATTTAGACTCCCTTGTTTAGACTTGGACTCTTGCTACCCCGAGGAGCATTATTTTCCTACATTATTGTCAATGCAGGATCCACGAGGATGCAGCCATTACACATTAACCAGAGTCAACTGGACCGACAGTGTTGATGGTCATCCGCATACCCACCATTCCCCGGAGGTGTCACCGGACCTCTTACATACATTGAGGAAGTCGAATTCGAGTTACTCCTATTTTTTTGCTCGAAAGTTCTCTCCGGATTGCTTGAAACCCTTGATGGCAATTGCCAATGATGTCATCTTCCGAGATTGAAGGGACCTAGGTAAGTTCTTTTCCCATTAAACTTTTTACATCAGGGCTTAGAATTAGGCTCAGTTAAGTCGCTAGAATTGAGTTCAGTGTAAGAGTCAAACTCTTTTCCGCTTTCAATGATGCTGATCTGTTTTGGGTAAACAACTCCCCACCATTTTAGGCTATAATATCTCTAATTTTGGCCACCGTTTATTTGGAGTTATTCAAGTCCAATTAAGTAAAGTAAACAACGGGCGTTTTCCTTTCAGTTAAATTCAACCCCTTTTCTTAATGTCAGGATTGGTAGGAGCCAAGAGGCATCATCCCATTTTGGTTTTAGTTAGGTAGTCAGACATGACTGCTTACCTTTCTTTATATCATTGTTTGGTTTGGTATTAATTGACCCATCCTTTAGGTTGTATTTTATTTTATTCATGAAGAACTGGACCAACCGAAAGCTTGCCCTTTGCTTGTCATCACCTGACATGTGTTTATTGTGGTCATTATGATCTTGGGGTTTGGTCAGTCTGATGTTCAATCTTAGTAGCACAACACCAAGACAGAATTTGACTTTTTAAATCAGACCAATTTGTCTAACTCTACATCTTGTAAACATGAGAGTTTAATATATTTCTAATCAATTTAGTTTTGTTGAGGATGGGTGGCTGCTCAGTGTTTTAATAACTTGAAATGTTTTTTGTTCCCCTAAAATAATTGTTCAGAGAATGACTTCTCACCCATTTGTTCACAACCTAACTTAACAAGGCAAATGTGTAATGGAGACATTGTATGCATTGATCCTGGGTACAATGGAAACATTTGTAGTAGAGTTGAGAAAGGTGGTAGGAAAAACATTGATGTTCACATGAAGCAAGTCTAAATCACAGCTAGTGTAATGTTTATTACTCATTTTCTTTCCCCACATCTGATCCAAACATTATATAAAAAATATGGGTGTTCATGTGATTGTTGTTGCTAATTTTCAGGTTAAAGAAGAAACTGGAAGGAAGGTTTGGGGTCTTTGGGAGTGGAGAAAGAATCATGTTGCCGTGTGGGGTTAATTTGATTAAATTAATGCCCCCTATGCCTAGATGCTCTTTTGTCTTTTGTACAGAAATTGGATCGCCATAAATATATGGTACTAGTTTTATCCTTTATTGAGTTTTCAAAAATTCTCTTAGAAAGTTTGGAAGGAAGGTGGGCATAGAGTGGAGTGGAGACAGGCAATATGGTTTAAACAATTGCCTTTTGCTTCCTCTGGTTTTTTTTTTTTAATTTTTGGGTCTCGTAATGATCTCCCATTTGCTCCTTCCACCAAGCTTCTGTTATTGTAATTATAATGTTACCTACGCCAAGGAGAAATGAAATTTCTCTTTCATTTTCTTTCTTTTTTTTTTTTTATCTTAGAGTAGCCAAACAAAATCATATATTATTGGATTTAAATATATTGGTGCATATACAATTGGATAAATCCTAACCACTTTTGTATGTGAAAATCGTGTGGATTTTACATGGATTGCTGGCTTGCACCATGCTTAGTTGGGATATAATGAAATTTTTGTTTAACAAAAATGGGAGACGTATAAATTTTTGAAAATAAATCTTTATTTTTTTATTAAATTTTTTTAATTGGGAGAGGGGGGAAAATAATTGATCAAGATATTGAACTGCTTAATTTCCAATCATTGTAATTTTTTTATTAAGTTAAGTTTTTATATTTTTATTTTAAATCAAATAAGTCTTTATGATTAATAATTGATTAATTTTTATTTAGTGAAAATATTATTCGTTATTTTTATGTTCACATGATATTAATGTAAAAGATAAAAATGTTACATTAGCATGTCACATTATCATCTATTATTAACATATCTATTATTAACATGTCAGTATACCATGTCAATATCACATGATATTAAATAATAAGTGATATTTTGATTAATAGAAATTAGTTAACAGTTTATTATAAGGGTTTATTTAAATTTTTATTTTTAATTGTGGGGAAGGGATTTGTGCCTTGTCTTTCATGCATCAATTAATAAGTTAAATGTTAGGGTACAACGGTTTATTTAACTTAAAATAAAAATATAAGAGTTTTATTGAATCTAATAAAAGAATAAAAACTTATTTAAATTTTATAAATAACTAAGGGGTGTTTTTTAAGTATTATATCAAAGATCTTCATTTAATAAAGACTAATTACCGAAGCCATGGAGGCCTTGTGTCAATGGCTTGAAAAAGATGTGAAAATTTTGAATTATTAAAAATAAATTTCATTCCGTGTAAGTTTGGGTCGAATTTTGCATTAGATTTATATAATTATGTATTGGTTTATTGGTTGATATGAGATAAAATACTTGAGGGTGATTGTAATTTTCATTTGTATTTGGAATTTTATATAAAAAACACCAAACACCAAACACCAAAATATTTGGGCATGAGAGTTGGGTCACAGTTGGGTTTGGTGCATATTGGGCCATTTTGATTCATGTCACTTTGATTTCTTGACTTTTTTCAAATAAATTCACGTGAGGTTGGGGCAATGTTTCCACTAATTTGTATCATATTATGAGTTTGTTTGGTCCCATTAAAATTTTTGTAGGAAGTAGTATTCGAGTAAATCTATTCTAAAAACTAACAAAAAGTTGGCAAATTTAATGAATAAGTTGTACAATGTAAACAACTCTTCCATATATTTTTGTTTATTTTAATACTTGAAAACAAAATAAAATACTTAACTTTATTAAACTAAGTCATGAGTTTTTAAGAGAAATAAATATATATAGTAAAGAAAAAATTTTTAAAAATAGAAATAAAAAATAAATGAAATCAATAGGAAATATTGGACCAAATAATAAAGATGAACGTGAAATTATATAATATTTTCTTACAAAAATTTTGGGATTTCTTCAAGGGTAAAGTGAGAATTTAAAAAAAAAACAGTCTCATTAAATATTTGTTGCTATACATTAGCAATTATTGAAGAAATTTTAATTTATAACTTCGTTTAAATGTCCAAATGGACTTTTCTCATGAGCAAAAAAAATTTAAAATTTTGAGAGTCAAGCACTTTGGTTTTTGAGAATATTGGTATTAGATATATATATAGGCGATTGGTTTTAGTGCTAGTGGGAATTGCAATTTGACATATTCATGTATGACATTTTGTTATTCATAAAACATTGAGATAGTTCTTTATCTATAAGTTTGTGATTTAATTACTTTTTGTACTTAATGTGGATAAAGCCCACGAAACTATATATGTCTTGCAAAGGAATTGTATTCGGTTATAAATATGAAATCTTTATACATCAAAGTATTGTTCTTAAAAGTTCATAATCATTGTATTATTGAGATAAAGCATTAATAATGTTCGAAATTCTTAGGACTTATTGGATTTTGATAGCTAATGAAGTATTGCCCTTTTTTATGAATAGTTGTTGACCATAGAGTAATGGACTATTTGGTTCTATTGTGATGACACTAGGTGATTTGTTGTCCTTGGTCGAGCTTCATTTTTTAATGATCGAATGTCTAATGTGGTGATTTAGAATAAGTGTTATTATATTCATGATCGAATTGATGGGTTATATCATAGTTATTGTCTATATGCTAATTTTATATTTTTATTTTGTCTATGGTTGATATGTAAACTTGTTTGAGGTCTTAATGATGACTTGTAGGCTGGATTTTTGCTCTTTGTAGCAATTTTATCGATACATTACACAAATATATTGATAAATTCAACACAGAACCAATAAAATTACATTCCACTCTAAATTTATCAATATATTGGGACAATGTATTGATAGGCGAGAAAATCTATTGATATATGAGGTTATATATCGATAGATTAGGCTTATTTTGAACTGAAATTGTTTTCAAAAACTTTTCTAAATAGGAAATGTGCTTATATTTGTAGCTAAATTTTTGAGAATCTCAATTTGTGTTTTAAACAAACTTTTGTTGTGATTTCCAACTTTTAAATAACCTTTTAAAAGCCTATGAATTATTTTACAAACAATGTTTTATAAAAAGGACAATACTCTATCTATGTATTGTTTGAAAGATATTTGTCTTATAATGAGAAAAAATGGACATTTCTTGATTTCATTTGATAGATAATGGACTCCGCGGCTACGGGTGTGGTCGGTATATGAGCCATTTGATAGATGTCAGGCTAGATGACTAGGTAATTTGTCACACTTGGGTTTTGCAAGATTGACAGGTGAGGATGCTAAAGAAGCAAGACTTAGTTTATACATACGCCTACAGTTGGAAAGGCAGGATTTGTAATCATTTATTATGATGTTTAATGGCATATGATTGAAGTGTGATTTATAAAACACTCTTGTCCATTGCTTGATCCCTTTCATCGTATCTGCTCACGATAACTAATACAAGTAAAATGCACTTGTTATTTCAGATCAGTAGATTGCTTGGCTTGTTGTCTTTTGGAGGGAGCTACTTCTATATTTAGTTTGGGTAGGTGATTATTATGGTATCTAATAGGTGTCAGCTTTTCTATTTTAAGTCACACTTTGCTAGGTTTGGTTTAATCCAGTCTAGTCTATTATATTTGATAGTTATAGATTTGACTTGTTATTGTCATGTAATAATTGACACTATGGATATTGGCATGAGATGGCTTATGTTATGTGTCTCCCATAGGATGGCGTAGACATAGAATTTCATTTTGTATTGCTTCCACAATTATGAGCACGTAAGCGTGCATATTGATTTTATAATACTTGATGTATATAATAATCAAGTTTACATCTGTTTGCATATGATTTTGTGGTGGTGATTTCCTTGAGGCACATATGGTTATTGGTTAATTGATCATTATTAGGTTTGCATGGGTTAATAGGGTAACTCTCATTGCCAAAAATGATTCTAGATTTGGTCCAAACAAGTTTTCAGTAGTTTTAAAAATTGGTTTTTTGGATAAAATTGAGTTGTGTTAATTTTAGTAGTTAGTAAAAGATTTTGGTGCAATTCCTCGTGAGAACAATACTCTACTTTTCATTATATTACTTGTTAATGGTACATGCACCTGCGTGGTAAGTTCGACAACAATGTGTAAAGTAGTTCCTAGCCAAGTCCAAGGAATCTATGGTAATTAAGTATTCCTTGCCAAGCTATATCATTATCAATGTACTATTTCCAAGGCATTTTGCATTTGTTGCAATCATGTAGAAGAATATTATAACCAATTAAGCATAAACATGATTTCACTTTCCAAAAAGAATATATAGTCGTATACCAAAATATGCAATCATTGAAGTTCAAGGTACATGTTATTACCCTATTGATCCATGATTCATGAGTGATAGCATTGTCATAAAATATTGGAAATATGTCACTCAAATCATGAATATATTTAAAATTAAACATCCAAAAATCAATGAATACTAATTGTTAGGATTCCAAAAATAAGCATTCAATCAAGCCTCATCAGGCATTCATTTCTAACTCAGGCTATAAGCCTTTTGTCATTTCATTTTAAGTCATTCATAACTAAAGTTGGATGCACACAAGATCTTTACATCATATAACCACTTAAACTCATGGAAGACATTGTAACCATTCAAATGCATAATAAAAAAATATTTGAACTATGTCAACATAATATATAGATCATAATCAAACTTGAAAATCAGTTTTATATTCAAACTCATAGCTTAAGTCAAGTTTTGATTTTGATCAATAAGGTCAAGGAAGATTACTTATCATGTAAGCATGTGGCTTGACCAAAATGATAGATGAACCAAAAATAATTTTCATGAAGTACAATGAGTTTATCTTAATCACTTTTATATGCATAATCAAGAAATCAATTTTGAAACATATAAACAAGCACAAACATAAGACATTTTTCAAGAATTGGTTCTAGACTAATCATTTGATCATTCAAATTCTCAATAAATGACTTTTCAATGTAAGCACATGAGTTTCACATCGCTTAAATTTGTTCAATTATGCTTTCAGTGATTTATTATGCAATGAACATAATGAAATATATTTATGCATACCAATGATCATTTTCAAATATCTCATAATCATGAACTAAATGTGCTCTTTTGACTATTCAAATTTGCAAGTGACCATGTACATTCAACACTGAAGCAAGATAATTCTATCTATCAATCAACATATATAGTTCAAGGAATAGTGAACAAATAATTATGTACTTTGACATTCAAACAAAACTAGGCAAACAAATTAAAAATATGAAAAACAAGTTTAGTCAATGCAAACCAAGCAATCAAAACTTTTCCATCAAACAAATAAATAACTATTGGTATAGAAATTGCCAATATTCCTTTGTGTGTCAACGAGCACTTTGTTTTTTTTTCAATAGCTTGTTTCTCTTTATTCTAGTGCA